CCCCCCCCCCCCCCCCCCCCCTCCCCCTCTCCCCTCTCTTGCGTTCTTTCCGACGGGTCGGGACGCGATGGGCTGGGAAGGGAAGGGAAGGGAAGGGAAGGGGAGGCTTTGTCACTTAGATACATTAATTGTATATTTTATAGGCATCCAAAAACAATTCTGCTTCACTCAACTTGAGCCAGGCAAGCCAGAAGGTGGGACAGCCCTTTAAGTGTTGCAATATTCTGCTCATTTAAGGCAGTGGGTAAAACCGTAACTCCAATCTACTGCCATCCAAGGGTATTTCAAAGCAGCCCAGCACTCACAGCCCTGGCTGAGGAAGGTGGGAGAAAAAAGCATTCCCAGGCTTTACAGAATGCCTCCATTGCCCCAACCTCTTCAGCCATTTACCCAGAAGACAGATGATCAGAAACATACGACTTGCTGCAAGGTATTGCTCAATGCGTGCCATTATGGTGATGGGAAATCTGACTGGGAGTGTCCAGCACCTACACTCAAGCAAATGGAGCTCAGCTTGGAGCTGCATGAGAGCAGCATTGCAGGAGGGCTCTGGTAACACCAGCACTGGGCTGAGCAGCCCCAGTCCAGTGCCTGAGACTTCAAACCAATGCATGCAGCAGCACTGCCCAGCAGGATGGTGGGCTCTGGGCTGTTCAAAGGTCTGGCAGCACTGTGCTATGCTCAGGGATCTTCTGGGCACTGCATGCCTGTGTCCATCAGTCGTGTGCTTACTGGGTAGGAGTGCAGCTCTGCTCATGTGCATCGCTGGAAGCTGACAGTGGGCACGGAAATATAAACACAGGAACACAGCTTATCATTTTCATTTCTTTTATTTCCTTTTCTATCGACCTTCCTGCCACCCATCCCCATAGTTCCTATTCTTCCACATCCTCCAAGTCCCTTTCTGGGAACTGCTGGCACAGAACACACGAGGATGCAGCACGGACCCTCCATGCAGCTCTCAGCAGTGCTACCGTGCTGCTTTGGGACGCCGTGGTCCTCGGGGTGCTGTGCACGTTGGATGCAGTGGCTGACCCTCCCAGCACATTCCCTAAGTGCAGCTGAGTGCTGGCCAATTCCCACTGCACTAAAAATAGCCCCATTCTGACCCTTATTTTTTTCCACTTCCTTTCCTCCTTTACTTGTGCTGCACCGAGCCGGCGGGTCCGCGGGTGCGCATTTTGGGATCGCTGTGGGGTCAGAGGTCCTGTGCTGCAGCTCACCTGCCCCCACCCGGGGTCAGGGGTGAAAACACAGAACGGGGGAGGGAAGGAGGACAAACCCCGAATGTCTGTGGGCTGAGTCCCTTTTGTCATGCAGAGGCAGCCCTCGGTGGGGCCGAGAACCGTGCCAGCGGAGCCGCAGGACGTGCAGAGCCGTCCCATCGCCGTCTCATCCCTGTCCCATCGCCGTCTCATCCCTGTCCCATCGCCATGTCGCTGCCGTGCCGTGCCGGGGGGGGGCGGTGCTCCCCCCGCTCCGCTGGTGCTACAACAGCCTGATTTCCCCGAAATGATGCCGGATGCAGCGACCAATCAGAGGCGCGACCGTCCTCCAGCGGTGGCGCTGATTGGTGGAGCCGCTGCCGAGCCCGGGCGGCGGGGAATCCCGGCCACCGCGTTATACCCGAGGGCGCGACCCGCGGGCGGCAGAAGTGGCTCGGCGGCCGTCGAGCACGGACGGCTTCGCTCGGCTCCGCTCGGCTCATCTCGTCGCATCTCGTCGCAGCTCAGCACAGCACAGGATCTCACGGCGAGGTGGGTCCCGGAGTTCTCCGCCCCCTTCTTTGGCTGCATGCGTTCTCAAGGGGACACGGCTCAGCTCGGTCCGGTCCGGCTCGGCTCGGCTCGCCAAGCGGAGACACCGCCAGCCTGAGTTATGCTGAGGTGCTTTTGGGGTGTCTCAGGTGCCGCTGCGCCCGTCGTGCTGCAGCCTTCGGGGGCTGCGGCCCCGCTCCCACAACACGGACAGGACGGGACGGGACGGGACGGGACATCCTCCGCGCCCTAAGGGGACGGCGACGTCTGGGCGCGGCTGTGGCTTTGCTGCTCATCAGGAGCCAGCGCTGGACTAAGGGGTTGCGCCCTGCAGGGCCGCACACACCCCGGCCCGGCTCGACTCGGCGCCGTCTGCCCTCTCTCCCGGCTCCGAGAACTTTGCGAGCCGTTGTCTCGTTGCTTGGGAAAGCCGCAGCCCTATTGTTCGGGAGCGGCTGTCCTCGGGCAGCGCAAACAGGAAGCTCCGAGAGGGGCAGAGCGGAGCGGGGGGGGGGAAGGAGGACGGCCGCAGCGCTGCACTCCGGGGGGGGGGCAGGGGAGGTACGGCGGAATCGCCGCTTCGCTCGGCGCAGGAAGCGAACTTGGAGCGAGAGGCCGTGCAGAGAGGTACCGGGTGGCCGCACAGAGGGGTGGCGCGGGGGTCCTCACTGCTGCCCCCCTCCCGCAGCAGGACCTCGTCATGCAGCGGGACTCAGGGCAGAAGGCTCTGAAACGGAGCAAAAGACTCTAAACGCTGCTGTGGTCGCTGGGAGATGGGGGCAGTGCGGGGTGGTTGGGGTAGGAGAGGAGAGGTTTCGGCTGACCCCGTGTGTGCCCCGCAGGAAACATGCCTGTCTCAAGGATGCGCATGAGACCCTGGTTGGAAATGCAGATTAATTCCAATCAAATACCGGGGTTGATCTGGATCAACAAGGTGAGCCATCCTTTTTACTATTATTGCTGCATCATTATTATTATTACCGTATCATTAACCAAGCTTGTTTTTAGTTGATATTAAACATGAGTCAAGATCATAAAGGAAAGAAGAAAACGAATAAGTTTTTTAAAAACTTTTTATTTTTAAAAGAAAACTTCATTTTCGGGAAAGGTGGCTCAGGTTGGTACAGAATGCAGGATTTCAATGTTTTTCTTGATAACTCTCCTATGGGTAATAATAAATGCAGTTTGAACTTGACTGAGAACCAAGAAAACTCATCTCTTGGTGCTTACTGGAGCCAGGCCACCTTCTGTCCCAGCTCAGTAGCTACTCCTACACCTCCCCCCACAGGACAGAAATCTTTATCTCTGACCTAAAATAAACTCTCAGTTCATCTCAGGTTGGCGTTGGGAAGCACATCCCTGTTGCTGTCCCACAGGAATGGGATCACCAGGCTTACTGAGTCAGATTTCTGTCTCTGAAGCTTCCAATCCATCCCGAGGCACCATTTAAGCTAGGGCATGGTTTTGGTGGGATTCATGCAGGGTCTCACTGGTAGCCTTTCAAGGGATTCTGTATCCAGGCATACATGAAAAATGTTACACTAGCAGATGAGGTGCAACACGTTGCAGTGGTTCTGGGCTTGAGCTGAGGCTGTTCATTGCTGCTGTACCACTGCACAGAGCTTTCCCAAACCCAACAGGTGGACCAGCAGTTCTTAAATGAGGATGTGAGGAGAGGGTTTCAAAGTTTCTGAGGTGCTGCTGAGGAAATTCTTTGCTTAAAGCCATCATTGCAACCTGGCATGTGATGCTTTTATTTATTTTTTTTTTAATTCAGATTTCTGTTGGTTTAATTTCAGGATAAGATGATATTTCAGATCCCATGGAAACATGCAGCTAAGCATGGCTGGGACATAGAGAAGGACGCCTGCCTCTTCCGGAGCTGGGCCATCCATACAGGTGTGTGCTGGCTTCAGTCCCCCACTCATGTGAACATCTCCAGTGTTACCCTTCCTGTCCCAGCTTACACCTCAGGTGTTACATGTCAGAGGAAACAGAGAAAGAACTTTTCTGGGGTGAAGAACTATCACTGCGATGAAAACACTCAACGTTCATCCCATCTCTTCTTAACAGGAAGATATAAAGTAGGTGAGAAGGACCCTGACCCAAAAACCTGGAAGGCAAACTTCCGCTGTGCCATGAATTCACTGCCCGACATTGAAGAAGTGAAGGACAAAAGCATCAACAAAGGCTCCAGCGCTGTCCGTGTGTACAGGATGCTCCCACCCCTGACAAAGGACCAGAAGAAGGGTAAGCCCTCAGCTTAAGCACTGCTTAGATTTCCTGCTCTGCTTAGGCAGCATCCCACAGACCTGCAGGCAGCCCTGGGGCTGCTGGGCTTGCTGGTGATGGTTTAGACAAACAGCTCATTTTGTCCCAAACAAAAGCACTTGGAGGGATGCCCTGGGGTCAGCTTGGCAGCAGTGGTGGAGCTGCTCAGCAGTCCTGCAGCCGTGCTCACCTTTGTCTTATTTCTATTTAACAGAAAGGAAGTCAAAGTCTTCAAGGGAAGCAAGAAACAAGAGCAAGAGAAAGGTACGCATCTGTAGAGGCAGCTGAAGGAGCTGGAGGTTTTTTTTTGGTGGTTTTCAAGCTTAATTTCTTTCGTATGGGAACTTGTGAGTTCTTAGACAACCTATCATGCTTTGTTCTTATTTTTGTAGCTGCACGAGGATATGAGGATGGAGGAGTCAGCAGAACGACTAACCAGCACCCCTCTGCCCGATGACCACAGCAGCTACACCGCTCACGACTACACGGGGCAGGAAGTGGAGGTGGAGAACACGTCCATCACCTTAGGTGAGAGCTTCAGCTCCGAGCAGAGAGAAAAGTGCTGCTGGTGCTAAAGCCACAGCGGTGTCACCAAGAGACAGAGCTGCCTGAGGGCTGCGCAGGGGGGAGGAGGAGGAAGAGGGGGAAGTAGGGGGGGGTCTGCGCTGAGTGCCACGCGCTGCGGTGGGATCTGCTCTGAGCAGCCCTCCCTGTGCATCCCCAGACCTCTCGTCCTGCGAGGTGAGCGGCTCCCTGACCGACTGGAGGATGTCGAATGAAATCGCCGTGGCTGACAGCACCAACGACCTCTACCAGCTCCAGGTGTCCCCTCTGGGTTCGTCCTCAGAAGGTTGGTGTTGCTTCCTGCCCACCTCGTTTTCTCAGCACTCTCCCGGTGCTATGGCAGGATGGAGGCAAGGGTGCCATGGTGCTAAGAGAAGCAGGAGCTGCTCTGTAGGAAAAGCAGCTTCTGTCAGATGGATTTGGGTTTCTAGAGCTACAACACAGCCAGGGTAGAGAGGAGCTGGGGTGTGCTGTTAGAGTTTAGGCTGCGGAGCTGCTTCTGGACCTCAAGCTGTGAGCATCTCCTCAGTAGCACATGTGGGGCACAGTGGGATCCCATCCCCACTGCCTGCAAAGGGCTCTAAGCCTGTGGAGAAGTGCTCCCATCTGAGCAGGGGCTGGGAAACCTCAGCGTGCTGCTGGTGTGAGACAGGGATGTGCAGTGGTGGTGAGGAAGCAGAAGGACGGTGTGAGAAAAACTGACATTCAGATCTCTTTTTTTTTTAATGTGATTACAAAACAGTTGCGGATGAAGATGAGGATGAAATGAAACCACACATGATAAAGGTAAAAACAGCCCTTCTTTTCAATTGAAGTTCTGTCCAAAATTGCCGTTTGCACCAAGGAAAGAAGAGCAGTAGCTTCCTAACCCACAGATAACCCCATGTGAGCTGAACACATACTTCCTGTAATCCAAAACCCTCATTAAATGAGGAAGCCTGAAAAAATGATTGATAAAAAAGAGGTGATTCTGCAAGCACAAACTTGAGATGCCCTACGTAGAAGCTGGTGAAAGCTGTTGAGTACTGCTAGAAGCAAAGCTTGCTGTATCAGAGCCCACGAGGCCTTCGAGTTCTCTAGAAAGACTTATTTATTTTGCCCATCCCTCTGCCTCGTGTTTGGCTTTTAATCTCCGTCCCCAGACATGGGGCACTCATCCCACTGATAAGGAGATGGGGTTTGTTGATGGAAGGTGCTCCCACCCTCCCTGCTGTGCATTAACTTCCATTAAATGAGGAGTGAGATGAGTTTTGTATAATTAGCATTATCTTAACAAAACCTTCTTTTTTGCTCTGTTTGCCCCCTCTTCTAGCTAGATGAGGATTTACTCAGTGCATGAGGACCCATATTTCCCCTACCCCTCTCCCTCTCAGGCTTTTTACCATCTCCTTACTGCCTTACAGCCATTCGAATCCGCCCAGGACTGGCACACAACCAGTGTTGAGGGGAAGGGCTTCTTCACCAACGAGCCGGGCACGCAGACCATGTGCAGCACGTTTGGCTGCGAGATCGACATGTCTTCAGGTACAGAGCCTTGTGCCATTATGGGCTGGGGGGAGGTACAGGAGAGGGCCTTCATCAAGATACTCCTTGAACCTGGAGGGAGGAACTGGAATCTCATGACGCGGGAAAGTGTGAACTCCTCTAATTAGCCTGTTGGGAGTCCGTAGGGAATTTGTTGAGATAAAGAGAGCCTCCAGTAGAAGTATGATATAGATCTGTGCTGCAGTTTTCCTAGCAACATAACCAGGTTTTCTACTAGCGATAGCTTACATTGGAGAGCTTAATTAGTGAGCGTTTGGAGTATTGCAGCAAATTGTGAATCAAAGGCATTTGCTCACCTCTGAGGGTGGTTTCCTTTGCTGATACATTGCCATCCATTGGTTCTCACGCTCCCTCTGTTCTGTGCTCATTTCTGTGTCTCTCTGTGCAGGGGATTTGGAGTTCCACATGCTGGACCAGAAGAGCAGCCTGGATTTCTCCTGGCTGGACTCCGTCAGATCCCTGCAGCCCATCTCCTGCAGCCTGTAAACCCTTGGCTTCCCAGCCCGTGAACTGCAGTTCTGTAGAGACTCTTAGAGACCTGAAGGGAATGGCAGAAGTCTCTTGTTACTGGCTGGAAGAGGAAAGAAGCCGTTTTATTCCGTTTCAGTTTTAGGCCTAAAAAAGCAAGAAAATCTCCATGAGAAGCAGAGGAGCCCATCTCACGCATGGGGCACCGGTGCTGTGCTCCCAAGGTGATGCTCATACTGCGGGCCAGGAGGTCCTGCATCCCCAGCACCCAGCACTTTACTCATGGGGTGCTTAGGAGACAGTGCAATGGGTCTCTGTTGGTTGCTGCTCACTTGTGCAACACTGCTGATGTGATGAGCTTAATGACTCTCATTACACTTAGTCAGAGAGACTGCACTAATTGGCCCTCTCTCTTCTTCCATTTGCTCCAGCACATAGTTCAAGTTCAGATCAGATCTTTCCAACTCATGTAAATAGTTCTGACCAATAAAATGTGAAAATTCAGTTTAGGCTTTGCTTCCATTTAGCACACTTACCCGGGCTCGCTCATAGGCTGTTATCTGTCGTAGGCACGCCGTGTCCCTTCCCACCGAACAGTCGAGGAGCAGCCGCATCATAGAATTTTGCACTGACGAGGGCAGTACTTTTATTTATGCAATGCCTTTCAGAGCTCTGTTCTAGAACTCCTCCTGCCAGCAGATCCTGCAGTTCTGCACCCAGCGAGCTGCAGCTGCCTCAAGCAAGGGCGCACACAGAAGCAGGATGGAGGAGCTTCTAGTCCACGCATAATGCATAGAAAACAAATCACTAAGATGCCATAGATTTATTTTCTTGTACATTTTATTTTTGTATATAAAGCGTTGTATATTTGTTGTAATAAAAGTGTTTTATATACAACATGTTTACTTTTCCTCATTGGAGAGCTCGGGGAGGATGCATTCCAGATTCCATGACAACACCCTAACAGATGTGCTGGGGAGAGGCAGCGAGGGGGGTTATTCACAGGAGTCATGAAAACCCAGGGAGTCTAAGAGCACGTGTTTCCCTCCTCATCCCAGTGCACTGACGGGAGGAGCCCTGCATGGCCCAGGTGCAGGCATGGAGTCGGTGTGCCCTGCTGTCATCAGATGCACGAGCCAGCAGTGTCTGCCAGCTGGCAGCTCCTGAGCTAAGGAAGCTGGAGCTGAGTTAGTGCTGCCCAAAATGAAAGCACAGACAGTCTGGAAGGGAAGGGGAAAGAGAGTTTACAGTTTTTTGCTGTGTATTTTGGTTATCCGCTAGACTTTCAGGCTCGTGTGACATGTCAGAGCATCGCCCAGGCTGGCTGATGCAATGTGTGCCCAGCTGCTAGCATGGGAATCTGCTGCTGCACAGGAAGCCCTGCAGTGAGCAGTGCAGCCCTGCTCCTTCTGAGCCTGATACCAGAGGGAAACCGGAGCAAGAGAACTGCTAGGGATGCACAGGGCTGGTGAGATCTGCCTCTGGGTCAAGGAAGGACAGGCCATTGGAAATGACGAAGTACCACAAGCATCCCTACCAGCACCCTATCTACAGAGCAGCACCATCCCTTACCATGTGGGGGTCACCCAGCATGGAAATGGGCTGTTCTTGCTGCTCTTCACATGAGTTCTACTGGCTACAGCTCCCAGAGAAGCTCTCTATCAACAGCCTTCAGCACACAGCCCTACTCACAGCCAAAGGGAAGAAAGCACCAAAAAAGCATCTGGACAGCTGGCAGGTGCCCAAGGGAAGCTGTGGGGGACGGGCTGTCCTCCTGGGCAGCTCACCAAGCTTGGGAAGTCCAGAGCAAGCAGCTCAGTGCTTCAGTCTGTTTAGATCTTGTTTCAGAGCTGTGCAACTATAACCTTTGGGCATAACTTTGAGCAAGCAGGAGGGAAGGCAGCCTGAGGGGAACATCAGGTGCCGGGAGAGGAAGACTCAACCCAGATTGCTGGAACAAGGCACACATTTCTGACTGCCTTTGTCACAGGCTCTGCTGTTCCAAGGGTCCCACACAGACAGCAGATGTGGGGCTTATAGGGGAATTTGGGGCCATAGGAAGCTGGTGGTGGCAGTTCTCAGAGCCAGCGCCTATGGACTGTGATATCACCCCTCATAGAATCATTCAGATTGGAAAAGACCTCTCAGATCCCCAAGCCCAACCCCTGCCCAGCCCACCATGCGCACTGACCACATCCCCAGTTCCACATCCCCACATTCTGAAGCACCTCCAGGGATGGTAACTCCCCACTCCCTGGCCAGATGTGCCAGTGCTGACCACTCTTTCCAAGGAGAAATTGCTATCACTATCCAACATGACTCTCCTCTGGCACTATAGGGCCATCATCTCTCAGCCTTTCAGGCCCTGTGCTCCATCTCCTGTAGTTGTTCTGGTTTGGAGCCCTTTTCTTACAGCTGGATGGCAAAACCATTCTGTGCTCACCAACACAAGAGGAAATGGGGTTTGCTCAGGAACAACTGTGACACTGGGGAGGGAGAAGGGAAACTTTCTGTGATGCAAACAGCGCCCAAAATAACATGTGGATTCATTTGCCCATTGATGCATTACGGGTTTTTCACAGCTATGCTCTTACACAAAGGAGCAGCTCCCAATACAGCACAGATTAGAGGGCTGACCAAGATTTTAGGCCAGAAGGAGCAGAGCCATCCCCTCAGCCAAGAGCCACACACACAGTGCCTCTTATCAGGCCATGGAGGTGCACACTTGCTGCCAGCAGCTGTTTCGCCAACTGAGTGTATCTGACTGAGTGAAGCTCCATGACAAGGCAGAATTTATCAGTGTGGGCACTTGGGTGACAAGCTGCCAAGTTTGAAGTTGTTTATTTTCGTTGTTGCTCAGAAAAAGACAGAGGAGTGCCTGGAGCAGGAGTGTGATGATGTGCAGAAGCTGGGCTGCTGCCACCTGGGGCAGTGGGCTGTGCAGAAGGGACTCCAGATGCAAGCTAAGGAGCAGTGCAGGCTGCCTATACCTGGAGGAACACGATCTTCTGAAGGTAATCCTGCACAGAGCATTCTATTAAATCATTTTAAACCCTTGACATTGGATTATTTTCAACTTGCCTGTGCTAAATGAGCTTTTCAGATGCTCAGTAAGCTTCAGCTGGTGCTCCTGGGTCCGGTTTACAACTTCAGTGTGCACTCAGCAATGTTCAGCTGGGGATGCACTCACAGCAGCACAGCAGGTTGCTGCAGGAGCTTCCCATGCCCACCCCAACAAAGCAGCACAATGCAATGCTTCTTCCACAGCTCGTGATGTACACAGCTCTGTCCTGTGCTCTGAACCCGGTGTGACCATGAGAAAGAAATGCGGGCTGTGCCACCGTTTGGCAAATAACCAGAGATCACCTCTCCATGGTTGGAAAACAAAGCAGAGCCATTGCACAGTTGGCACTCCTATGGGAGATGAGCAGAGCTGACACTTGCAGGCTGCTGGTTGCTCGTGCCGCACCCAAGTCAGCTCAGTTGGCAGCTAACATGCAAATGTAAAGCTGATCTTGAAACAACAGCAAAACTCATCTCAATTTTAGAGCATTAAGCACCGAGCCTACTGACAGTACAATGAGAGTCACAGAAACAGCCCCACAGCAGCAGCTCACACAGGTTTACTGCCACACCATCCTGCTTCCAGTGTGCAGAGCACCTCTGCTGCTGCCAACTGACCTTCAGTGCCGCAGGAGCAATAATTCCATGCACCTGTTTGTTGCAGCATTTTCTTCCCCCCCCAGTGAAAACCCTCCACCTCCAAATAAAGCATCGCTGTTTTTCACAGATGTGTCCAAACACGTCATTAAAACGCCCTTCCACAACGAAGGCGCTCTGCTCAGCACCCTTCTGAGCTCTCAGCCCCCCATCAGCAGCGCCCTCAGAGTGGTGCAGAGCTGTGCCGTGCCCAGAAACCTCCTGCTCTCAGTGTCCACAGCAGAGGCACCTCGGTGAGCTTTGCCCCACAGGCAGCACAGCCTGCAATTACTGCCCCAGCTTTGTTTGCCATGTTGATCGGCTCTGATAATTAGACACATTTCCAGGAAACCACATGGTTTGTGATATCACACCTATAAAGGGCAGCCATATTTCAGACCAAAGGTATGAGTTTATTACTGGAGCTAATAGTAAACGCTTGTTAGTATTACAAAGTCAAACGGCTGCTGATTTAGCAGGCAGGTGTGCAGGTCTGCAAACATCATTCTGGCTGCTCTGGACCATCGTCTGCTGGTTCCTGAAGTTCCCCACATCAGTGCATGCGACACAAAGCCCCACACTGCCAACATGGCACAAATGGAGCAGCTCATTGCTGAGCGTCTCCTGACTGCTGCTGACAAAAGTTCTCTGCTGCACAGGGCTGGGGAAAGGAGCCTGTCCCACTGCACAGCACAGGGCTGGCTTCTCCTTGGCTGAAATGCCTACAGGAAAGTCAGTGTCAGAGCACAGATTGGTGAAAGTCTTCCCTAAGAAGGGAGCAAACATCTACAAACCTGAAGCCCCCCATCCTGCACCATGCACCATCCGAGTACATGGGCTTTCTCCATGCTCTGAGCACAGAGGTGTCAGTACCACTGCTGGTGGGTGCATCGGTCCGTGGGCAGGGTGAGAAAGGAGGTGTGAAACCATGCCATTAGGGATTCTGAACTGTTACCTGAGGGCAATTATATGCACATTCCACTAATTGCCCTGCTCAGCAATGTGGAAATCAGTGCCACGTCATGGAAACAAGGCAGGAGGATGAGTAAGCAACAAGCACTGCAGCCATGGGGATGGGCAGCAGCAAGCACTGCTGTCGTTACCCTGCACCCAGCTGAGGAGCTGAGGCACCAGGATCCACATTACATGGACACAGGACTGTTAACCTTCCCTTCCGTGAGATGGGTGGGCTGGATGAAGTCAGAAGTAAGCAAAGGGACACGCACAGATGGAGTAGGCATTGGTTTGCCAAGAGATTTCCAGAAATAGGAGGAAATTCTGCCACAAGGAAACAAACAGACGTAGCTTTCACTGCCAGCACTGCAACTGCCCAGTGCCAGGGCTGGGCTGTGGGATGCTCTCAGGAGTGCATGTGTTCTGGCTGCACAGAAAGGACACCCAAGGGCTGTGCTGATGGTTGCACAGAGCAGCGCTCAGCTACAACAGGAGAAGCAACAGCCCTATTTCAGTGTAGGAAATTTCACACCTCGGGTACAGCTCTCGCCTATTGCTCTCTGTTTCACAGTGCAAAACCACTGCGTGCTGCCGCTCCACCCAATACTGCAGTGAGCAGAGATGTGGCACTGCTACTGGGGAACCACCGCCGGAACAGAGCCTGGTGCATTTCACAGAGCTCAGCCACTGGAAGAGGGATGTCTGCCTTCTGTCCCCTTGGGAAACTGTGCTAAAGCAGGTGGGGCAGTGGTTAAAGGTAGTGCAGGGTAAGGGAGTGGTTGGGCAGGAACCTGTCAGGAGCAGAATGGCAATTGTCTCTGGGCAACTGAAAGCAGAGGGAAGCATTGCTC